TCCGCCGCGTCCCCGGAGATCCGCAGGCGCCAGGGGCCCGGAGCCGGGCGGCTGCGCCCTGTTGGCCGGGAGGTGTGAGAGCCACCGCAGCCTCCTAACTCCTGGGAATCGGGGTGTCGGGTCCCGGCGCCCAGAAGCGCAGTGCAGGGCTCGGGCTCTCCTGCTTCCGCAGCCCCGCCCCCATGCAGACCCCTGCTGGATTCACTGGGGCTTGGCCGTGCCCTTGGGATACAGGCCACATCCTAAAAGAGCAAAGCTCTCCTTCCTTGCCCTCCGCTCCTGGCATCGCTCCGTGCCGCGTTCCCGCGGGCCCTGGGACGGGCGGGGTGTCACTCAGCGCTTCGTCCCCGTGAAGTCATGGAAGTCGGATGCGGTGCTCGCCTCTGCTGCGTGGCGGAGCTTGGGCACTGTGTCTCTGAGGCTGGCAGAGCTCCGTCTTTGCTGTAGATGCTCCCAGGCGGTTCAGATGGGCCAGTTCCTCAGCTCTGAGACCGAATCCAGGCTCAGGAAGTGGTCTCTTTGTCAAGATGGATTCTGGGGTACGTTTTTCCATAGCAAGGCAATGACACCACACATACTCACAAGTGCTTGGATTCTGAATACAGCCTCGACCTCCTGGGCTCCGGCGATCCTTCCGCCTCAGCCTTCCAAGTAGCCAGAACTACAGGCCCACACCACCACGCCTGGCTAATTTTTTTATTTATTGTAGAGATGAGGTCTCACCAAGTTGCCCAGGCGGGTCTCGAACCCGCGGGCTCAGGCAATCCACTCACCTCGGTCTCCCAAAGCATTGGGATTACAGGCTGAGCCTCCAAGCCTGGCAAGAAAATGATTTTTTAAGAAAGCTAGCAATACATTAGCATATAGCAACATTATTAGAATAGTAATGTTACAAAACATAGAACAGATATCGTTACATTAGTACTCACCCAATTGGTCACCACTAAAAACCAGTTGTTGAAATGCTACCATATTCCAGGCATTGTGAATAAGACAATCCTTCAAGGAGACTGTAGTTTGGCCACTAAAGACTAGAAGTCAGGTAGGATCAGCAGGAGAGAGATTTTTGAAAACAAGGGGCACATCTTAGTGTTTTTCTACACTGAGCGGTAGAGAGGGAGAGAGGCTGAGAGCAGGAGAAAGAAGCCTCTCATGCTGGGCTGAGGCCTCTGAGGGGCTGGGAGAAGGGCCCAGGACGAGGTGGCTTCCTCAGAAGGAGGTGACAGCCCTGCAGAAGCAGGGGAAGGATTGGACCAGCAGCTCCCCAGAGCAGGGTCCACAGGCCAAGAGGCACCCACAGTGGACGACACGGGTCTGTGAATGGCAGAAAGGAGCTATGGGGACCAGGGGGACTGGGAGGTGGTGTCATGGAGAAGCATAGGAAGCTGCTGTTGTCCGGTCGCTTTTGCTGTCTGTGAGATCTCGCAGATTCACGTACTGTATTGCCTTTTCTTCTGTCTCCTTCCTTCCAGAACTGAGGGTATGGTGTTGAAGTCTTCTGTTGTTAATGTAGAATTGTCTGTTTCCCCCTTCAATTTTGCCAGTTTGGCTGCATGTATCTTATTCTTTTATTTCTTCTGTGGGAATTGTAGTCTGTAAGACAAAGAAATCAGTTATCCCTCCTGAATTTTCTCCCAAATTATCTGTACTTTCCTTATTTTGGAAGCTTCTGGATATCCTTTTTAAGAAAACATGATTTCCTGGCGGGATGGTAGTTTTATTTTATTTTTTTATTTTATTTTTTATTTTTTGAATCAGGGGCTCACTCTGTCGCCCAGGCTGGAGTGCAGTGGCACAATCACAGCTCACCACAACCTCGACCTCCTGGGTTCAGGCGATCCTTCCACCTCAGCCTCCCGAGAAGCTGGGACTACAGGCATGCTCCACCACATCCAGCTAGTTTTTAAATTATTTTGTAGAGATGAGGTCTCGTTATGTTGCCCAGGCTGATTTCAGACACCCAGGCTCAAGCAATCCTCTTGCCTCAGCCTCCCAAAGTGCGGGATTACAAGCATGAGCCACCTCGCCTGGCTGTAGTTTTAAATATCTAGCAATCTTTGACAATTCGTTAAATCACAGGGTAAATTAATGTGCAGTGGACAATACAGGCCCGATAGCACATAAGAAATAGTATTTTAGTGACTCACAGATTACACTGGAATTAAGTACCATTTATTACAACAAGAGGGAGTCATTTCTGTTTTCCTCGAGATGGACAGAAACCTTGAGTAGAATTAAACAGTTCCTGCAAAGTGGGCTCAGGTGTCTCTGAAGAAAGCAAGCACCTGTGGCAGCCAGGATAGCCCCAAGTTGGTCCTGGTGTGTTGGCCTTGTAATGGCCTTGGCAGAAGCATTTTTGGTGGCATAAAGTCAAGGCTCAATTTTTGACTGAAGGTTGGGATTAATGATGTGAGGGAAATATAATTGCCATAAGGAGCTCGTTAAGGGGAAGTTGCCTTATAAACCTTTTAAAAGAACAGCTACTAAATTTTTGTTAGCAGGTTTTTAGATGCAGAGAAGCAGCAATGGTCTGAAGAAAATATTGTTTTCTCCTAAGTGGTAGATGGGAACTAGGAAGTCCAAGGTAACAGGATGAAAATAAAAGAGATAATATTCACATTTTAGATGACTTCAAAGTGGACTAAAACATGAAGTAACAGGAGAGGGTGTTGAGTTGGAATGTTAATCTTGACCCAAAGTCTTGGGCAGAAGCTGTCCACCCCTGAAGCCAACATCTTCTGGGGGATATCTAAGAACCTAAGCTTGGGATTTCCAGTGGATTCTGGGGGGAAGTATGGTGTATCTTTTAAGCTGGGAAATATTAATCCAAGAATCAGTACTTTGGAGTTTTGCTGCTGTGTCAGTTGTTAGCAGTAAGTATCTGATAAGGTCCTTTTCATCAAAGCTCAAGGGCAGCTTTTCTTCGGTCTTTTCCAGAACACTAAATCTCCTGTTGTTGATCACTGGTAATTATTCTGGAAATGCGGCTTATATCTGTTGATGATAAAGCTGGGGGTATTGTATGAGTCCCTTGCAATTCCTAATCATATCTTATTGTAATTGCAATAGGAGAGAATCTAAGGTTGGGGGTGAAATTGTTAAACACAGAGGCCAGCCTCTCTCAGGTGAGGAGCAGCAGGGGGAGGTCTTGCTATATCCCCAGGCTGGAGTGTGGCTGTTCACAGGTAAGGTCATAGCATACTGCAGCCTGGAACTCCTAGGCTCAAGTGATTCTCCTGCCTCAGCCTCCCAAGTAGCTGGGGCTGCAGGTGTTTGCCATCACGCCTGGCTTGGCCTCTTATTAATTCATAAGGAGAAAACCTGTGGGTCCCGGACTGGGGTGATTGATTTTATACACATTAAAGCTAATGGTAATATTTTAGGTATAGGAATTTGTTAATTTTAGCTTTACAATCTCATTAGTTCTCTATTTTTCTTGAGGGCTGTGGATGATAAGGACAGTAAAGTTTTGGGTAAAAGGCAGACTTTACAGAGTTCCTTAATAACAATACCATTAAGATGAATGTCTTTTTCATTATTAGAGAGAAGTGGAAATTCCCAGCTTGGAAAACAAAATCAAGCAAAAAATTTTGCTACAGTTAGAGCCATGGCTCTCTGGAAAGGAAAAACTTTAATTCACTCTGAGAAAGCAAAACAAAACAAAACAATCAGAACATATTTATAATCCACCGCAGGAGGTACTTGTATAAAGTCCATTGGGGGTTTGAAGGGCCCTCGAGAACTTGGTTCTTCTCCATTTCTCGCCTTGACATTTACTAAGATTGCATCACTGACAGTATAACAGGTTTTATTTTATTTTATTTTATTTTATTTTTTTGAGTCGGAGTCTCACTCCATCGCCCAGGCTGGAGTCCAGTAGCACATTCAGGGCCACCGCAGCCTCAACCTGCTGGGCTCAGGTGATCCTTCTGCCTTGGCCTTCCAAATAGCTGGAACCACAGACGTGCGCCACCAGCTAATTTTTTTGGTTTATTGTAGAGATGAGGTCTCACCATGTTTCCCAGGCTGGTCTTGAACCTGTGGGCTCAAGCGCTCCTCTCACCTCCGCCTCCCAACGTGCTGGAATTACATGCATGAGCCACTGCGTGCTTTGCAGAACAGGTTTTAAAAACATCCCTAGGAATAGCTCAAAAATTATCCTGCCAATGTCAGTTTAATATTGTTGCCAGCGTGTCCCTGCTATCATGAATAATATCACAAAGCATTTTTGCTAAACTCCATTTTGGCTTTTTAACCTGTCACTGTGAGTTAGCCATCTGAGAGCACCAAATACTCTATGCAATGAGCATCCAAACTTTTCCACTTTTCTGCTTTTTTGAATCAGGGGTTTGTCTCCAACAGTTAAAAATAGCTTCTTTGAAGCCCTCCAAGGCCTCTCTTTTCCATGAGATTCCAGGAGCAATGATCTTGGCAAAAGCTGTTTGAGCTGGCCCATTGGTCAGCCACAGAATTCCTAGAGACTCTGAGTCTTTGTGCTGTGAATGACAGTCTGCGTTTATTATAGCTATTTCCTTAGGCAACAGCAAAGCAACTACAAGTCTTATTTGTAAACTGTCATCAATTCTTTTTCTTTGTTTTGAATAGAGGTCTCACTCTGTCGCCCAGGCTGGAGTGCAACGGCACGATCACAGCTCTACCACAGCCACAACCCTCTGGACTCAGGAGATCCTCCCACCTCAACCTCCCAAGTAGCTGGGACTACAGGTGTGTGCCACCATGCCCAGCTAACTTTTTAATTTTTTTTTATAGAAACAGACTCTTACTATGTTGCCCAGGCTGGTCTCGAATTCCTGGACTTAAGCAATCCTCCCATCCCAGCCTCCTAAAGTGCTGGGATTACAGGCGTGAGCCACCATGCCTGGCCCCGTCATCCAATTTTTACAGGTTTTTGTTGAGGT